CGGAGGGGGATAACGCGGTCAACGGAAACTTCCTATCTTTGGACGTGGCAGTAGCGGCTTCTTCGTTGTGGAGAGCTTCGCGGAAGGGGATAACGCGGTCAACGGAAACTTCCTATCTTTGGACGTGGCAGTAGCGGCTTCTTCGTTGTGGAGAGCTTCGCGGAAGGGGATAACGCGGTCAATTGAAACTTCCTATCTTTGGACGTGGCAGTAGCGGCTTCTTCGTTGTGGAGAGCTTCGCGGTAGGGGATAACGCGGTCACCGGAAACTTCCTATCTTTGGACGTGGCAGTAGCGGCTTCTTCGTTGTGGAGAGTTTCGGGGAGGGGGATAACGCGGTCAACGGAAACTTCCTATCTTTGGACGCGGCAGTAGCGGCTTCTTCGTTGTGGAGAGCTTCGCGGAAGGGGATAACGCGGTCACCGGAAACTTCCTTTCTTTGGACGTCGCAGTAGCGGCTTCTTCGTTGTGGAGAGCTTCGCGGAGGGGGATAACGCGGTCAACGGAAACTTCCTATCTTTGGACGCGGCAGTAGCGGCTTCTTCGTTGTGGAGAGCTTCGCGGAAGGGGATAACGCGGTCAACGGAAACTTCCTATCTTTGGACGTGGCAGTAGCGGCTTCTTCGTTGTGGAGAGCTTCGCGGAGGGGGATAACGCGGTCAACGGAAACTTCCTATCTTTGGACGTGGCAGTAGCGGCTTCTTCGTTGTGGAGAGCTTCGCGGAAGGGGATAACGCGGTCAACGGAAACTTCCTATCTTTGGACGTGGCAGTAGCGGCTTCTTCGTTGTGGAGAGCTTCGCGGAGGGGGATAACGCGGTCAACGGAAACTTCCTATCTTTGGACGCGGCAGTAGCGGCTTCTTCGTTGTGGAGAGCTTCGCGGAAGGGGATAACGCGGTCAACGGAAACTTCCTATCTTTGGACGCGGCAGTAGCGGCTTCTTCGTTGTGGAGAGCTTCGCGGAAGGGGATAACGCGGTCAACGGAAACTTCCTATCTTTGGACGTGGCAGTAGCGGCTTCTTCGTTGTGGAGAGCTTCGCGGAAGGGGATAACGCGGTCAACGGAAACTTCCTATCTTTGGACGCGACTTTAGCGGCTTCTTCGTTGTGGAGAGCTTCGCGGAGGGGATAACGCGGTCAACGGAAACTTCCTATCTTTGAACGTGGCAGTAGCGGCGTCTTCGTTGTGGAGAGCTTCGCGGAAGGGGATAACGCGGTCAACGGAAACTTCCTATCTTTGGACGTGGCAGTAGCGGCTTCTTCGTTGTGGAGAGCTTCGCGGAAGGGGATAACGCGGTCAACGGAAACTTCCTATCTTTGGACGTGGCAGTAGCGGCTTCTTCGTTGTGGAGAGCTTCGCGGAGGGGGAAGACGCGGTCAACGGAAACTTCCTATATTTGGACGTGGCAGTAGCGGCTTCTTCGTTGTGGAGAGCTTCGCGGAGGGGGATAACGCGGTCAACGGAAACTTCCTATGTTTGGACGTGGCAGTAGCGGCTTCTTCGTTGTGGAGAGCTTCGCGGAGGGGGATAACGCGGTCAACGAAAACTTCCTATGTTTGGACGTGGCAGTAGCGGCTTCTTCGTTGTGGAGAGCTTCGCGGAGGGGGATAACGCGGTCAACGGAAACTTCCTATCTTTGGACGTGGCAGTAGCGGCTTCTTCGTTGTGGAGAGCTTCGCGGAAGGGGATAACGCGGTCAACGGAAACTTCCTATCTTTGGACGTGGCAGTAGCGGCTTCTTCGTTGTGGAGAGCTTCGCGGAGGGGGATAACGCGGTCAACAGAAACTTCCTATCTTTGGACGTGGCAGTAGCGGGAGCGGGTTGCGATAGACGAGTCAGAAATCAAAAAAGGAGAGGAGGCTCACGTGTTCGGTCGCGCCACTCGACGATGCGGATCCAGTTTTCCGTTCACGGAAGCGACTTCTTCGTTTGGGGAGCGGTGGGGAACGCCTCGAGCACAATTTTTCAAAGGCTGCGATGGTTCAAAGTCGGGCGGAATGTCGTGGAAGCCGGCGAGATTGTCTTAAAATCGACCACTTCGACGATGTCGCCGTGCGCCGCCATGTCACCTTGAACTTCGTTATTGTTCAGCCGCTAGCGAGAGTAGCTCGTTCTTATTGGCTCTTGACTGCGGTCGACTGCGTGTCAATGCTACAGTGTGTGCAAGCTTGGCACAAGCTCTCTTAGCAACAGTACGCCTCCGCTTATCGCTTCTAAACGCACCGCGTTTGAAAGCAAATATGGGTATGTGCCTCTAGTCTTATGTGGAAGTTTGCTGGGCAGGTTCATACCTGAGAAAGAAATTGCCATGTAAAACTTTAAGTTTATAACTTCATCGGTCAAGAGTTACGTAAAAAGTGCATAAACTAACACAGCGTCCCCTGAGTAAAACTCAACGAGAGACGGTAATGATGATGACCTCTTCCTTCGGTGAAACATACAGCATAACACGCCTGTCACGCGGCTCTGAGTATAATTTGCAGAAATTAGAACACTTTTAATAGAACATAAAAGTCAATGTGGAAAGGTTTATTATTTTTGCGTGAATTAGGTTGAATAACTGCAGCTTTCCATAAAACTAAAACAGTGAAAATATTGAAAGTAATCTTACAACCGCGTTTATTACGACACACACATTAAGTCCTTGTGAAATTTTTTTGTTTTCCTGAACCGAACACTTAATATTGTTTACGTGTAAGAATGCGAAAGCATTAGTACATGCAGCGCATTCCTACAAACACTGGGCCCCGCTGTCCTCCGCAGAGGCCGGTCGGGTGGCGCGTCATGGCGCAATACAAAACGTAGAGCACGTGACAGAGTTGTGCGCAGGGAGAAATAGGAAAAATTTCCCGCTCCTCGACTACTCCCCCCTCCCCCGCTTCCCGCCACGCCTGACACGTGACCCGAGAGGGAGGAAAAAACGGCAGCCAAGCGCTCGCTGCCCTCTCCCTTTTACCGGCGCGTGGGCAGCAAAACCAGGAAGAGGGCTTCTGTGGGCACATATGGGCACATTTACTTTTATTTTCTATTAAATGCGGTATAATTTTTGCAATTTATATTCACAGTCGCGTGACAGGGGTGTTATGGTGCGTGTTTCACCTTGGAACTATAACGGGTCGAAGCCAATATGAATTTAGCCGACTTTTTTTGCTGCTACAGACGGAATTTAGCTGCCGTTTTTCGCTGCTACGGACTAAATTTATCAGCCTTTTTCCGCGGTCGCAGACAACGCCGGCTTCGCTCCATGAGACAGTTAATGGTTTCGCATTAAAAGTGTAATCGAGAGAGACGCCTTCGAAAGTCAGAAAGCTGCACCATACGGCCTGTCCAAACAGGACACTGCAAAAGTCGTCAGGCAACACGGCTCCGACAAATGGTTCAACGGCCCGCTTCCGGAATTTTTTTTTTTTTTTTTGTGAGGGGGGAGTTTTTTTTGTTTTTTTTAAATCTCGCCCGTGCCTTTTACGGCGCCTTTTATGGCGCCCGTTGTCTGCTCATCACGTAGGTCCGGAGTGCTACTCACGCGCTCTCTTGGCTGTCGGTCAATCGCTCAAGTCCTCTGCCGTTTTTCAAGTCCCGAAAACGGGAAAGTGAACAACGCGAAGGTGTCATTCCCTTTTAATGTGAGAAGCGAAACGCGTGCTTCGACGCAGGAATCTCCCAAATCCACCCGAAGCGGTCCTCATTGGCCTTCCAGCCGAGGCGACGGCGGTAGCGACGTCAGCGAGCCGCGAGAGAACACCAGTGGCAGGTGGCGTGTGATGTCAAATCTGACGAGAACCGACGTCAAAGAAAAGTGGAGGAGGCGAGAGAAAATTCGTGATGTTGGCTTGGCCACAAAAATTGTCAGGCGACACGACTCCTTCAAGAATCGCCAAAGATGAATCGTCCGCTTCAATTTTGCCGATTTTTCAAGGAGCCGGGTTGCCTAACGCTTTTTGTAGTGTCCTGTTTGGACAGGCCTTTAGATAATACCAGCTTGTCGGAAATATTTTTTTTTTTGCCGAAAAAATGATTATAGTTGTGAGTGAAACTTTTTGACAGCATCCATGAGGATATTTAAAAGCTCATGAGACCAAACAAAGCCATTATTTCATAAATTTAATATAGTACAAATTCCAAATCACTATAGTTATAAACTTGCACTTTCCTACAAAAGGTATTTTAGACAGAACGAAAATATGTATCTATCAATTTCCCACCTTGAATTTAGACAAGCAAATTATCCAACTCGTAATGCTGAGATATGGATAGTGCCACATTCAAGAACAAACTATGGGAATCAGATGTTAAAATGTACACACCTCCATCATCTGAATCGTATTTATGAACTCGATATAGATATCTTCAGTATATTCGCCAAACAAATATGTTCACTTTTTTGTCTAACGGTTACTCCCATGTAAAAAAAAAAAAAAAAAGTTTAGTATAATCCGGATGTATGCGTTTAGCGCGTGTTGTTATTTTTGACATACTTTTTCGTTTCTTTTTCTCTCCCTTTTGTTTACATTCTTCTTTTTAGCAATATAGATGATGTCTTCCCCATGCTATAATGAATATGTAAAATGCTAGTGTATTTACGCTCATGTTTGTTCTTCCCTGGACTGCTATGGGGGGGGGGGGGGGGGGGGGGAGAGAGGCTGCTGAAGCAGCGTGTCAGTTGCTTTTTCCTCTGCTTCCTTTCTCTGATTCAGGGATCAATAAAAAATTTGAATTTGAATTTGAAAAATGCGACTTTAAAAAAAGTTAAATGTAGTGTTTCTTTTAACTATTTGCTTATAGTATATGTGAAAGCTTTAAGAAACACAGGGTGCGGCACGAACCAAGTATCTGCTTATTATTGGTCCTGAGCCAATCAGATCGCAACATTAGCAGACAAGAACGTTGAGGAAGCGGGCAGCTTGAACATAATAAGCCACACCCTGCGTTTCTTAAGCTATCAGGGACTGCGGCGATTGCCGTTCCTAATATGTGCCTATTATGTTTGTTCGACGGCAGCGACCACTAAAGTTCAGTTCGTTTATTCGGATTACGGAACCTGTGACGTGGTTATCGTTCCGGGAACAGAGGAAAAAGGTAAGTAGTGCGGCCTTCACAATTTCAACTTCTACCCCACGTTGTTAATTTTTTTTTTATTACATGTGGTTTCTGGACATCACAACATAGGTTGCGCTTTATATAAAAAAAATAGACGAAAATAAGCAATGTAGATTATTACGATGTATCATCACTAATTGCAGGGACAAAATGAAACGATTTTCCTACCTCTTCCTCCTTAGCTTTAATCCTCAACTCAAATGCGAATTGTGAAATCACGTGGTCGTGACATTCCTTCGGCACCGGTGCGATGACTCCTAGCTTCCACCGTGCTTTTTATGCACACCATAGAACTTGTCATTCCCCAGTGACGATAAGTTCCCTCTGGGCACTCATTGGCCACGAACGCCAATCCAAATATTCGTCGACGGATTGATTTTTGACGAGCGCATACGTCCGAGTGACGCGGTTCTCGTGTCCAATGCGTGAGCTGGGCTCTGCTGACGTCAGTTTGGCGCGGGTGACGCGCTTTTGGAACCGCGGATGTATCATAGTGAAAAGGCGGGGAGCTTTCGAAGGCAAGAAGGTACAAAATAGTCCGCTATATTTTCAAATGTTTGTACCGAAAAGCTGGCTTTTGACTTTCTAACCTCTTTCTTTTGGCCAACTAAACAATATGCGATTAGTAAAGTCCCACTTTAAAATCATTCATCGCAACCCAAAATTCGTTTCATGCGCCCTTTAATGGAAGCAATACAACGCGTGTTTTACAACCCGTGAACCGACGATTCTACTGCAGCTGTGCGATTAGTGCCGATGAAGTTTATGACTTTCACTGTGAACACAAAGTCAGCGGGTATTGCCTGACATGCGCCATACCGACAGTTGCCGCTGTCCGGTATTGGTTATCTATGTAGGCTCGCTCACCTTTGTAATGCCCAGTGGAGATGACGACCAAGAGCATTTTGACAAGCGGAACGACGGGTCCGGCAATAAGCTTGACCTCCAATTGGCTATTCTTCAGATTTGCCTGAAGGTAGGCGTCATCTCAGGCGCGGTGCAAGCTTTCAAACAAATAACGGACAACTACATCTTTGTCCGTCCAGTAAAGCAAATTGTCGTGTCTTGACGGGGCAACAGACACAGTAGACCGGAGGACCATGGCCCGAGGTTTATTCCATGGAGCGTGGAACTAAAACGAACCTCTCGTGCTATCAACTGGCACGACGATAAAGAAGAAGAGCGAAGGAACTAAAGCGCCGCCACTATAGTCCCAGTAGCGCGCGCTTGGCGGTAACTACACAACACTCCTTCCCCTTTAATTACGAAGCAGCGCCAACGGCAGTATTATACAAAAGTTAGGAGCGAGCTTGGTATCTGTCAGGCGGACGCCGTTCTCTCGATGGGTAGCGTCCTTCAGAAGTAGATCGTCCTGTAGGAGGTACAGGATCCCGTTGCGGGATGGTGTGAGGCTGCTGTGGCCCAGGCTCTTGTACCGTGATCGGGACACTTGACACCAGGAGCCCCCCAGCGTCGTCGGTGTCCAAAGGTACCGGCGTTGCCGTTGGCCGTGTTTGGCTCAAAAGTTGATCGAGGTGTCGACGCCAGATGAACTTGCCTCGAGGCGTGGTAACCTGGACTTGGTAAGATACTGGACCAGTCTTCTTGAGGACGGTACCATGTAGCCACTTCGGCGAACTCCTGTAATTTCGCACTAGGACATTGTCACCAGGGCAGATTTCTTCTCTGCTTGTCCTCCGTTGCTTACTTTGTATAAATTGCTTGTGGATCACTTTCCCCTCTACCGTAGGCTTGATTACATCCAACCTGGAACGCAATCTTCTGCCCATCAACAAGTTTGCTGGCGCCTCTCCTGTTGTTGAATGTGGAGTATTCCGGTACGTCAGAAAAAAGTGTTGCAATGCTTCTTCCAGAGACTCACCAGCGGATGACTTGCGTAGTGCAGACTTCAGTGTCTGCACAAACCGTTCTGCCAGGCCGTTTGGGCTCGGGTGGTATGGGGCGCTCACGACGTGTCTGACCCCGTTGTTCCTCACGAACACCTTGAATTCCTCGGACACCAGCTGCGGCCCGTTGTCTGCAACGATTGTTTCCGGAATTCCGAACCTGCAGAAAAGTTCACGTAGGCACCTCACAGTGCGCTCGGTAGTAGTGCTCTGCATGGTGAACAGCTCTGGCCTTTTTGAGTGCGCGTCCACCACGACTAGGAACATGGTTCCGCAGAACGGGCCTGCAAAGTCCAGGTGTAGTCGTCTCCACGGTGCTGTCGGCCATGCCCAGGGGTGAAGGGGCGCTTTGCATGGATCATTACGCTGTTCCTGGCATGCTTGGCAGCTTCGTACCTTTCTTTCAAGGTCTGAGTCAATTGATGGCCACCAAACATAGCTGCGAGCCAGCTCCTTACTTCGCACGATGCCGGGATGGCCTTGATGCAGTTCGTCGAGCACGGGCTCCTGCAGCTGGGACGGAACAACAACCCTCATGCCGTACATTAGGCACCCCTCGATGAACACTCATCTGCAAGCGTCTGTCAAAGCACGGTCTGAGTTGTTCTTGCACGTGCGTCGGCCAACCCATGCTTGTGTATTCAAGTACTTGACAAAGTAACGGGTCGCGCGACGTAGCGCGTGCAATCTCCTTAGAGGACACCGGCATTAACTCTAGGCGCAGTGCATAAAAGGACTCGTCGCCCTGGCAACTATCGTCTTTCGCACTTTGGAGAGGGAACTTTGAGCAAAAATCGGCCTCTGCATTGTCACTGTATCTCTTGTACACCAACGAGTGCTTGTACGCTCGCAAGGTAACAGCCCAGCGCTGCAAACGTGCTGCCGCAATAGAGGGAATACCTGTCTTTGGGCCTAAAATAGTCTGCAGCGGTTTGTGATCCGTGACGAGAGTGAAAACTAGGCCGTAGATGTGTAAGTGGAACTTTTTGATCCCAAAAATAATGGCTAGTGCCTCCTTTTCAAGTTGGCTGTACTTCTTTTCAGCTTCGGTCAGTGTGCGTGATGCATACGCCACAGGACCAGTGCTTCCATCTTCACTCACATGAGACAGAACAGCGCCTATGCCATACTGGGATGCGTCGCACGCAACTTGCAATGGCTTACTTGGGTCGTAGTGTGCCAGAATCGATGGTGTTGCTAGCACTGTCTTGATTTCCTCGAACGCTGCTTGACACGCTTTGTCCCAACACCAGCGCTGGTCTTGACGCAGCAGCCTGTAGAGCGGGCTCGCCAGGGTGGATAGTCGTGGAACAAACTTCCCGTAGTAATTTACCATGCCTAGGAATGAATGGAGCTGCTGCTTGCTTGAGGGTGCAGCAACCTTCAGCACAGCCTCGATCTTCTCTGGCGTCGTGCTGACACCTGCAGCACTGATCACGTGGCCGAGATAACGCAGCTCCTTCTGGAAAAGCGCGCATTTTTCCTTCTTCACACGAACTCCACGCTCTAACAACCGCTTTAGGACTGCTTCCAAATTGACCAAATGCTGTTCCGGCGTCCTACCGGTGATGAGGACGTCATGTCTTGCCTTATGTATCGTTATACTCATATGTTTCCGTTTAAAAAAACCCACTCCTCTCTGTAATGCCTTCGGGCCCTGAGAGAACAATAAATGAAATGAAATGAAATCCAAGTAGCAACTGACGCCTTTCAGATCTTTCAGCATTGTGTCCATGATTCTCTGAAAAATGGCTGGTGCCGAGGAGACTCCGAACGGTAACCTGTTTACGGCAAACAGTCCTTTGTGTGTATTTAAAGTTAGGTACTTGCTCGACGTTTCAGTCATCACCACCTGGTGATAAGCCCGGTTTAAATCAATCTTCGAAAATTCCTGGCCTCCTGAAAGCGCTGCGAACAAGTCGTCGACTCTCGGGAACGGATACTGGTATGTGTCAAGGCAAGGATTCACGGTGGTCTTGTAGTCGCCGCCAACATTATTCTACCGTCCTTCTTCACTACTGGCACAACCGGCGTCGCATAATCATTCGTTGTGACTGGTGTTATGACGCCCATGTCTTGCATCTTCTTTAGTTTAGCCTCGACAGCAGGCTGTAGGGCAAACGGCACGTTTCTTGCCTTGAGGAATTTCGGTACGTGACCTTCTTTTAGCGTCAGCTCTGCCCTTTCTTCAGCAATAGTCCCCAGGTCTTTATTGAACAGATTTTGGTACTTGTCCAGAAGCGCACTAAGCTTTGTGCGTTGTTCGGAAAGCGCCAAAACATCTGACCTAGCAATGCTGTTGATCCCGAATATCCGGTTCCAATCCAATCGGATCGCTTGCCGCCACTGCCGGCCGAGCAGAGGTGGTCACTTTTCTCTTGTGATGTAGAGGGGAAGCTCGGTCCTCTGCTGTCCGTACTGCACGTCGACGTGAGCAACCCCGATGGGCTGAACGATGTCTCCCTTGAACGTGGGCAGCTTGAGCGTCGTCGGCATGATCTTTGTTGAAGGAGATATCTGACGAAACTGTTGCAGTGACATGGCAGAAACAGTTGCTCCTGTGTCCAGTTCCATTTCCAAGGCAACTTCCTGCACGTTTATTGTGAGTTTTATTGGTCCCATACCAGACGTGGTCATTTCCTTTATGCCAACTGGGTCTTGAACAGGAACCAATTTCTTCATCGCCTTACGTGGCGTCCACTTCGATTTCTTTTCTTTGTCAGCATGACACACTCTTTGGACATGCCCCTTCTTGTTACACTTGAAACAGGTATCCGCAATGTGCGGGCATACCCGGCTTCTATGTTTCGCTGAGCCGCAGTGATAGCAGTCTCGCTGCGTCACGTTCAACTCCGCGACGGCCTTCACCTTGTGGACGTCCGAAACTCTAGGTTCTGACGCATGTGTTTCAGCGACGTTCTTTTTTGCCGCTTCCGTGGCTAGCGCTTTTTCGACGGCTCTCTGGAAAGTTAGCTTGTTGCCCTCTGTGAACAACACACGCTGAATGTCCTCTCTGCGTAAACCGCAGACGAAACGGTCCCTCAAGGACTGGTCAAGTGCGGCTTCGAAGTC